GGAGAAGGAAAGAAAAAGAAAACGGATGTGGATCTTGGTGCCAAACGCAAGCGGGAAAATCGGCGGCCAAGCTGAAAAGTCGGCGGCAGCAGCGTTGGAAATCGAGCGTTAATTTTATATATACAATTTCAACCTAGCCTGGCCCAAATTTTACCAGCTGCGTGTGACCCCATAACCCGAGGCGGTACAGGCCGTGTATTTGAGAAATAAGAAGGAGAGGAGAGTTCCAATTTAGATACCCGCAGCGTTAGAAGTTACAAAAATCCCGACCTACGACAGCAAAATTTAAATTGAGCCGTAAAAGAGAGGCTTGGCCACGCATAAGCGGGAGCTTTCAGTCTCCTATACGGATCGAATCACGCCAGTCGCCTTCGTTGCGCTCCGTCGCAAAAAGAAGAATTTAGAAAAAAATCAATTTACGCGGAAGTAAACGTTTTTTTTGCACCATCCGCACGCGTCGGTGAAAGCCTGTAGTTACTGCCCGCGAGTTAGTCGGCGGCTAGAACATAATTTAAGCAAATTAAGTGTAAGCATAGTTTTTTGTGTTGGTGCTTGTGAATATGTGGGTGTAATAGTGCTTTGGGCAGCTAGCTAAGGAAGAAAGAAGAAAAAGGCGAGCATGCAATGAATTTTTACATTTTTGCTGTGTCGGTATGAGTGTCTCCTTTTCCCCTCTTCTTTTTTTTTGCATTTTATTTCCCCCTTCACAGCTCTCATCATCCCGAAGAAAGCGCTTTCGTCGATGGATTTGAAACAGTGGTGAGTCCAAATCTTCATCTTTTTATTACATAAAAGAAAGGGAGTAGGAAGGAAATGGAATAAATTGGAGGGTGAGACGTAAGAAGAAAAGATCAGAAGGGACGGCCGAATGAGCAAGGAATAGAAAGAAATTTACGACAACGTCTGAGCGAACCGGGAAAGCATGAGCTAAAGAAAGCTCGATCGCGTAGATCCCAAGCTCTTCGTTCGCTTTGAGTTTAGTTTATTTGCCAGTCGACGAAATTGTCTGACCTCCAGAACATCGAGGGAGGCGAGAAGGGCAGATCTGCCAACAGTGCGGACAGACCAGCCATCGAGACAGGCAGCAGTGCTTGAATCCTAGACATTAATAATGCTTTATCATTATCCACAGGGTTGCGATAAACGACACTCTATCGTCATCGCAACCCTGTGGATCCTTGCGATCCCGATCTCGTGACGGACCTCTGACCGAACGAAATGATCGAGCTGTATATCGACGAAGATAGCAGAGATCTAATATCCCAGTAGTGCTCAAAGATTGTGTACTTTTGGTGGCATCTGAAGGTCGGATACACCAGAGAATCTCGTAATGAATCTGATTTCGGGTCAGGTATGCAGAACATAGTGACCGTAAACGCATGCCTTGGAGGTCTCAACGCAAGAAATTTGTAACGGCGCAAGTGGTCACTCGCCCAAAGCACCACTCGGGATCAACGGACAGGAGTCCTCTGCAGCAACGGGAACCACAGCCATCTCAATCGCCCAAGGATCCATCGACAGATCCAACTCGCAGAACCAGACGATCCCCACAATCAGCTCACGGACTTGGAGGCCAGTCCGCAGGCTTGGCAGATTTTCTGGCAGGACCTGCGCATCAAATGCATCGATAGACCCGCAGAGCCAGGAGGATCCTGTAGGACACGGAAATGTAATTTTATTTGGTGTAAAAGAACTAGAACATTTTATGTTTTTACACAGCTAGTACATGAAATATGAACTATTCGGAATCTAAACAGACATGCAGCAGTGTTTGAATCCTAGACATTAATGCTTTATCAAAAAAAAAAAGTTAATAGATCTTTTGGATATTCCCTAAGGCATATCAAGGCAAATATAAATCGGCGTTTTAAGAACAATAAACAACAATAGAATTCCATATCAGTTCCATCGCAGTGTGATTTAACGCTGTCATTGTAGATCATGCCCCTGCAATGGTCCGAATCCGACTGCACAGATGGCAGCAGGTCGAATAGAGTGACCATTCACCCATAAAAACACTTACGCGTTAGCTATAAAAGAGCTCAAAAAATACCAAATTTCCATTATTCAGTATATTTGGTACTTAGTATTTAGTAAGTCATATTTCTAGTATTCGGTATTTTTAATATTATTAAAAGTTAACTCGATAGCCAACTCGTATGTGTATCCATCTTTCTTTGTTAAATCAAATCGCAAAACAGCAAAATTAAGCCAAGTAGCAGCGCTCTACTAAGACGTAACCATCAATACCTATGAGGACGGTTCTTTTACAAGTCGAGCTTCGTTTTTGGCTAAATTTACTAGTCGGTAAAGAAGAAAACCGTGTATCAGGACTATGCAAAAAAAATATTTATTCTGTTACAATTTTTTAAAATTGCCAAAAAACATAAATGTCCCAATTTTATCTTTCTATCGATTTCAAGTGGCTTGCCGTGGACACCACTCCTGGAAAACGGCTTAGTTTCAAAACTAAACTAAATTTGTGCTTAATTTTCTCCCGGGCTTATAATATTACTTAAATATATGAAGAAAATAATTTTTTACTTTTTTACAAGGAAGAGGACAGCCGTCCTCCATACACGAAAGTGATGCCGAAGGATCGCCAATACGCAGTCGCCATCACCAATGAGGAAGACACCAATTGCGGCGACTACACTTGCGTCCTGCAATTCCTGCTTAAAGATTCCATATGGTTGGAGAAGAAGTGGGTTCCCTGCGCTTTAGCGAGTGCATATCAGGGGAGCAGTTCGAATGCATATTCTACAATTGCTACGAGCAACTATCACTATCGATAGAAAAATTTAGTAATTATACTAACTACAAAATATTACAAAAAAAAATCTTATATAACCCACAAAATGAAAATAGTTCTTAGCCTTCACTTTCACTTTACTTTTAAACTGTGGTTTGTAAAATGTGCTGTTCATAATTTTATGACATACGCGTCTTGCTCACTGGCATATGGAAATAGCCAAACCTTAAGTGTGATCGCATATTTACAAAATAATACATTAACTGTTTAAAAGGCGTTTAATTGATCAAAGAAAATGCGAGAATAAATCTAATCCAGGTGGAAAACTAATGAAAACAGGAATACTGAAAACTAAAAATGCGTCCGTTTGTTATATACATAATACTTTTGCACCTGACGGGGGGAATGAGATTCGTTTAAATACAAATTCTATATAATACTCACTGATATTCTTTTGAAAAAAATATGTAACAGCATTAACATATTCCCTTCAAAGGACAAAACTAATTTCACATTACAAACTAATTTTGTTACTCTCACATAATGACTGCATTCCTATGTTCAAAAAAATAAATATAAAAGCTTAAACGAATAGATTCACGGCTTACCGTCACACATTGCACTTCATTATTATTAATAAAATTAATATTGTTATTAACTAGCACCAGTGGGAAAACACAATTTATCTAATTTCCCAAAAGCCGTAGAATTCTAGTTTTCTATATGGAACTGTTTATAACAACTTAAATAATTTCATGACAGTAAAATAGCGTTTTATATTTCCGCTAGAATTAATCATTAATAAAGGTGTTACTGTTGTGGCGAATATACTGCCATCGACATCACACTTCTGTGGACCTGCAAGTCCCTGTTTGTAGTTCGAATGACCTCAGCTTCCATCGAACCCATCACTATATTGAAGTTCGGCTATTAAAAAGTTTGACCCTTGATCTTTCATTATTTTCGAAACAAGGTTGTTTTTTGTTTGATCTCTAATTGAGATATATTGTTGCTTGGTTAAATTTTGATCTAAGAGAACAGCTAGTGCGTCGTTAACTAGTATTTTCTCCAATTTCGCGACGGGCTGACTTATTAAGGTGCGCATGCTCTTTGCTTTTTCAGGGCAGATAGCCAACAATTTTAAAATATATGCTAGATCTGATTTACCGCCCTTACGCGCAGCCGCACTCGCTAAATTTATTAATAATTTAATATTTCCAGCCGTGGATTTGATTAAATTTGAAACTACTCTTCTCTAAGCCCTTGCTCCCGATAACAAATAAGGCAATTTTGGCCTGCCTGTCGATCTCCGCCTGTTTATGCAAACCTCAGTGTGGGATGTAAACCAAGTTGAGTACTTTCTTTTAAAATGATTAAAATTTATTTTGCAAGATGTCCTTTGCGGGACAATAACAAAAAGCTTCGCTTTGTTTTTTCAAAACATCCTCATAAGCATCTGAACCAGCTATCGCAGCTCTTAATGTGTCAAGTATTGGCAGATCTTTGTCATACTTTTTCTCTCCAGAACTCCAAACAATTATGTATTTTCAAACCTGAGGTTGTGACCTAAAAGGGTAAATTGCGACGAAAGTGTTTGCACACTTTAGCATTCTTATGAACAAGAAATAAACTACCGACAACACAGTGTAAATATTAAGGTGAAATTCAAACATATAGTACAATCCGCTCTCTTTCGATGCCATTACAACTTGTTTGATAAAAACTTAGTTTGGTGCCGTTTTTGTTACGTAACATTGAAGTTTGATGTTTTCCCGACAACGACTTTCGAAAAATGGATTTGTGGCCCAAAAATGTGGTCAGCCAGCCTGTAGTGCATTATCCAAGTCTTTGGAACTTGACGCCAAAACTAAAACTCCCAAAATATTCACAATTTCTTCTTAAAAAATAAATTCTCAATGGAAGTAATTTTTATTTTTCTTGGAATCTATTGGCCACTGTATGCTTTAATTTCGGTTTAAATCGATTTCATGAGGACATTATGTTGAATTTTTTATACCAATACACCCGTTTTTATCATTTTATTATCCACTCCTATATATTGTCAAATTTAAGATAAGACATGACAACATATTGAGTGTGAGTAAACATGTATGTTTTTATACATTAATAAATTTGTATTTATTTAAATCGTCTTCGGAATAAAAAATGGAAATTCCGCAATCAACACCAAATTGATTTGATTGATGTAAGATGTTCATTGGTAACTTTAATGGAGTGCCCACATGCGAAGAGATTTTCCATCCGTAATTGAGGTGCTGAGTTGTAGAGGCACTAGATGAGCGGCGGCATTAGCAATGAAAAGATCGTAGAGGCCTTTGCACCTGTGAAGAAGACCACCCAACTGCTTACCTCGTCCACCAACTCTTCCTAGTCAAGCGAATCTACCCAGAATGGTGTCAGCAAGTCCTCCAATGGCAAGGAAAAGTCTCAAAACGATAGCTCCTGAAAAGAAAGGCCAGGAGGTAGCCGATCAGAAGAATAAAATGGTAGCTAAAAGCAAGGAAGTGGTAGCTCAAAAGGAAGACACAGAAGTTCCTTCCGAAAAGGAAGGCCGAGAAGAGACCAAAACGGAACAAACAAAAAAAAAGAACGAAAAAAATCAAGAACATTTTTCACGATTTGAGAACGATCCGTTCGCTATTTTGTGTTCATAAAAGAGAACACTGCGGTGTCAAATAAAGAACATTTATGTAAAATTATAAACGAGTCACGGAAAAATGCTTAGCTTTGAACGGTATGGGGTCATATTATAACACCGTTCTAAGATTATGAACACCATTCATGAAAACAAACAGGTTGTCGATACTCGAAAAGTTCGTTCGGTGGTCCAGCTGCTAGACCGTCCGCCTCTGCCAAAATTTCGGGTACATTTTATGAACAAGCGTTCGTGAATTGTCAACAAAATAGGCTCTAACTGTTTACACAGAGGAGTTCACGCTACAGCGACCAAAATCCGCTTCATCCATTCCACGTGCACGCTTCAACTCGCATCAACGGAAAATTGGACCGCATACGCAAAACGATTCAATAGTTAGTTTTTATTCAGTATTTTTTACGAGCTTAGGTGATTTTTGTACTTGGCGTTTCGGAATTTTTTTGCTTTGGCGCCGTATGAGAAAATTGTTGTTGGTGCAGGACCAAGGAGTCTTCCAACGACTCGGAACCCAGCAGTTAATCTCTATGTATGTATGAGGCGACATCTTCGGTGTCTTTGGTGAAGACTTAGGATGTTTTTTAGGGGTAGTAGTTTTTGGGGAACCCTTCGGTGTTGTCGGTGTCTTTAATGAAGACTGAGGCTCCGTTGTTGGGGAACTAGGAGCTTGAATCTGCTTACGGCCCTTGATATGCGCATATTTTTGTTTGACCAAACCTGCCACCCTTTTAGCGCTCCGCGGTGTCTTCGGTTGCTTGGAAGTGCATGGGGCTTTTGGACTGCTTGATATATTCCGGGTTCGAGGAGCCCTCTCAGGGGTATCGGGAGCACGATTTGTTTTACGGCCCTTAATATGTCCCCAAGTCTCGGGTATTCGACCTACTAACGAAGAATTGCGTAAATCTGACTCTACGGATACCCGAGAAGGGTCGCGACTCTTGGGCTCTTGCGGATAAAGTAGTAGGCGTTGATGTAGCCGCCGGTTGGGCAGTCGATATGGAGGAGGCATCCTCGGGGTTTGATGAATACCTGCGAGTTTTTTCCATTTCGGCTGGCTTACCAAGAGAATATATATCTTTTGAATTCATTGTGAGTCGTTTTCAATAAATTAATAAATTTGCTAGTTCGAGCTTCGCCTTTTTCTTTTTTGATTGTCACGTCAAAAGTGATTATGAATTTAAAAGCATGGCCAACTAGAAAACTATTTTATGGGAAAATATCGGAAGTACTTTTTTTAATCTAAATACCAAAAATACCAAAATCAATATAATATATAATATTTTTATATATTTTGATACTTAACAATTATCTTATAATTGTTGAGAGCTTATAAGAATATCTTTAAGCATTGAAGGCCAAAAGAATCAAAAGAAAATGGTATCATATTTTTGAAGACTGCAGTCTGTTAAAAACGGAAGATATTAATTAAATTTAATGCCCGTTAGAGAAGCGACGACGGCTACTGGCGGGCAAAAGAGCGAAGAGTAACGAGAGCCTCATGGAAATAACCGCTGCAAAAACTTTGCCAGCTGTATTGCATTACGCCTTGAATTTCATTACACAACCCGTGGGAAAGGGGAAGTCCCGCCCCGTTCTGAGCTGGCCCATAAAATCGAGCGAAACACTTGTAAAGTCTGCCAGGCGGCCAAAAGGGAAACCCCCTCCCTCTTTTACCATACAGTCTCGTATTCCATGGCGCCTCAACTCGTCCGACATTGCAGCTCAGCAGGGTGTCCTGATGAGGATGATTTTGGTGGCGGAGTTATGGCGGGGCACTGGGAAAATAGCGGGATCGAGAGGCTCTTGGCGGGATAGAGTTTATTATTTAATACTTTGAAAGCCATGCGTTAAAATTAGCAGCCATAAATCAATGAAACGACCCGCACAAGTCCACAATTAGCCGGGAAGAGCGCGACAAACGCTTCGTGTTATATGAACTAGCTCTTTTTTGCACTTTTGTATGCTCATTCACTAGAGCTGGAGTAAAAATGGGAACGAGTATAAAAACTAATTTTATGCTTTTTCCTTATTTGTTTTAGCTCCTTGCTTTTTAAGTCCGTTGCGAGCCAAAAATGACGCTGCTTCTTAGAGGTAAACCCAAAACCATATAATAGCATTCAGAAAAAAAGCTCAAAGGCTATTTGAAAAAATTCTTGCCGGAGATGATAAATTCTTTAGCACCAAAAAATATTTTCAAGTCGTTTTAAAAGTGTGTGATTTCACGGCAAGCATACATTATTAATTGCTGGCAGTTTTATACCTACCTAAGTCAGTTTTAAAAGCTTCAAGCAGTACAATCAGAAGGTTAAAGTTATTTGAGTTATAAAGTTTAAAGCTAACGTTCAAATGCTTAAGTGACCATGCCTTCTTATCCAAACTAATCCCAGTAATTGTCATACATACCTGTCTCTTTCTAAGCCTCTGATGAATGAGCCGAACAATGCCGTAGAATAGTCGGATAAGCTATAGAGAACGGTGACGATACATCGATTGATCCACAAAGAAATCGAGATTCTTCCGAAACCAAAAGAATCGATAACAATGAAGTTAGTTTTTGGGTGCAGTCTAGCAGTCTCCCTTTAAGATGTCTGGATGCTCCGACAAGCGGGGATATTTGATGAAAAAGCTTAAACAGCATACAAATATAGCATTCAATAATAAATAATTCATTATACTATCCTTTGGCTTCAAATTGTCTTGTTTGAATGGTTTTTAAGCTTTGATTGAAGTTATATATGACAATAGCCGATAAATATGATGGCTAAATTCGTTAATTTGTAGATTGCACTTGGGGCTGCTCCTCCTCCTCGAAGCTCCAGGTCGACTCACACTTGAAGCCATCTGCAGCTGCCAGGATCCCCGACCGGTTGCCCATTTCTTTGCACTTGGCTGTGAGAGCGCAGGTTAGCCACGAAAGAATTCCGTGGAATACGGAGAGCGCCGCACCAGTTCTCGAATCTTGCAGATGTTGTTCACTCAAAACGTCGTTTTTGATATACTCGTAAGCCTAAGTAGGCACATACTTTATTAACACGCCTCACAAGAATTGTTCTTGCTTTCACGCCGGAGGTCCATATTCGCGGGGTGTCTTCTGCGGAGACGATGTCGACCCAGTGGTGTGAAAAGGCGTCTGCCAGGCGGTTAGAATGCACCAGTAAGCGGTCCCCTGTAGCGTTTCGAGATTGTGCTATCATCTCAGTAACGGTTGGAACTCCCGTGTTGCGAAAACGTTGGAAACATTTTTATTTCTCTGGTGTGTTCCTGTCAGACATGTATTTTTATCTGGTCAATTCCAAAATTGTAGCATTATCTGATATTTCAAATAGTTTTGGATCCTGTTAAGCGTAGATAGGAAAGATAAACCTTTTAAACCTTGAAGGATTGTATTTTTATAAATAAAACCATAAACCTTTCCAAACCTTCCAACTTAAGGAAGAGAGAGCATTTGCATCGTGGTTAAAGGACTACATCACACAACACCTTTAGAGGAGGTTAAGGAGGCCTTTGAGAAACTCGACCATAAGGTGCGAGACGCTAAAAATGCAATATCAAGGGCAACCAAAATGCCATTGTCAATGTTTTTTATTAACCTTGCACCAGCTCCCACCACAAGCAAGTCTTCGCGATTAACAGACTGTGTCACGCCGTTGTCACCATTGAGGAGCCAAAAAAATTCGATGGAGTGGTACAATGTTTCCGCTGCCAAGCTTTCGGGCACACGAAAAGATACTGCAAGCTCCAACATGTTTGTGTTAAATGTGGTCTACTACACGACTCTCTTGTTTGCCAAAAGACAACGGAAATCCCACCCATGTGCGGTAACTGCGGAGAGGAACACACCCCCTCCTTTCGGGGTGCAGAATCTACATAGAACTCCGATAACAGTCCACTCAATGGCCAGTCCCTCTTGAAGATTTGGAGCAGAGGATGATCCGACGTATGGAAGACATGATGAACACCATGTTCGACCATCTCAAAAACCTAATGATGACAATGCTTTCCAGCCAGAACAATCATAATTGACGGAACTCTCACAAACCACACTGTCACCATTAACCAACCCCACCCATTTGTACACACCAAATACTAATTACCAAGAAACTTAATTTGTAATTTCGCACTCAAAGTATCACAACATTTAATTGGTTGCCCCCTGGGCAGATGTAAATAAACTGTATTCAAACTAAAAAAAAAAAAAAAAATGTTCTGAAGAGAATAATTCATGAAATTGGGATACCCCTATAGGAAGTCTTAACTTTGCATTTCAGATAGTTATACCCCTTACTCGTAGAGTAAAAGGGTGTACTAGATTTGTCGGGAAGTATGTAACAGGTAGAAGGAAGCGTTTCCGACCCCATAAAGTATATATATTCTTGATCAGGATCACTAGCCGAGTCGATATAGCCATGTCCGTCTGTCCGTCTGTCCGGATGAACGCTGAGATCTCGGAAACTATGGGAGCTAGGCGTGCAGATTCTGAGCTCCTACGCAGCGCAAGTTTGTTTCAGTAGACTGCCACGCCCACTCTAACGCCCACAAACCGCCCAAAACTGTGGCTCCTACAGTTTTGATGCTAGATAGAAAATTTTAACTGAAATGTAATGTTCTCATCAATACCTATCGATTGACCCGAAAAAAGTTTGCCACGCCCACTTTAACGCCCTCAAACCGCAAAACCCTGTGACGCCCACAATTTTCATGCTAGATAACAAATTTTAACTGAAATGTATTGGTCTCGTCAATACCTATCGATTGATTATAGTCGATGGCCTCGACTATTAGATACCCGTTTATCAGCTTAAGGAAGTGCGAGAGCGATGGAGATATGTATATATAAGGAAGCTCTTTTTTTACACTAACACACCTAGTTAATAGCGCCACCTATCTTCTTCTTCTATAGCGCCACTTGGCTTGCAGCGCCAACTAGCCTATATCGCCCCTAGCGGCTTATTTGCGTGTGCTGTGAATTCCGGACTGAATTGCAAAATATTGATTGTTATTTGAATATAACATTTTAAATTAAATAAAATAAAATAGGTACCGCACATATTACACCTTGGCCACCTTAAGAACTCGGGGTTTTTCGTTATTCACCACTAAAGTACCTCATAAAACATTGGATAGCATTTAAAATTACCTAACCATCCTTGTAGCTGTCTCTTAAGAAATTGCGGTTTTTCGATATTCACCTCTTAAGCTTAAACTTGCCTAATTCAATTAGTATCACACATAAGATACCTTGGATACATATGGTCATCTTAAGAATTCGCGGTTAGTGATTTTAAAAGCCAACAATGTACTGTAATAAATATAATATAGTAAGTTATTGATAACAATTATTTGTGTTATTCACATTATGGGACACATCCACAATTCAATGTGGAGTGCCATGACTTTCCATTCATTCGAACTTGGGGTACCATGTCTAGAAAGTTTCATTTTTTACTGGTTTCCCCACAGTTCATATCAATTTTTCTCCAACATAAAAACCGGAATTTGTATGTATGTAAGTATGTAACAGGTAAAAGGAAGCGTTTCCGATCATGAATCAGGATCGCTAGACATGTCCGTCCGTATGAACGCTTTGATCTTGGAAACTACAAAAGCTAGATATTTGGGATTAGCATGCAGATCCAGAGATATCACGCAGCGTAAGTTTGTTTCAGCAATATGTCACGCTTACTCTAACGCCCACTGCGAAAGACTGTGGCTCCTAGACTTTTAGTGCTAGACTTAAAATTTTACCTGAAATGCATTAATCTCGTCAATACCCATCACTTGAAAATTGGGATTGCAGACTTATTCCAAACAGTTCATATCATTTTCATATACCAGCTATGTAAAATAAATGTTCTAGTTCTCTACACCAAATAAAATTAAATTTCCGTGTCTTTCAGGATCCTACTGGCTCTGCGGGTCTATCGATGCATTGATGCGTAGGTCCTGCAGGAAACTGCCAAGCCTGCGGCCTGCCTCCGCCTCCGTGAGCCAATTTTGGTTGATCGCCTGGTTCTGCGAGTTAGATCTGTCGATGGGTTCCTTGGGCGATTGAGATGAATGTGGCTGTTCCTGTTGCTGCAGTGGGGCTCTTGCCCTTTGTTGATCCTCAAGTGGTGCGTTGGGCCATTCGCGCCGTTACAACATGACTTGCATTGACTTGCGTTAAAAAACGAAATTTTACGCAGGTAACAGAAAGCGTTTCCGTTTCTTGATTAGGATCACTAGCCGAGTCGATTTAGCCATATCCGTCTGTCCGTATGTCTGTCCGTGCGTATGAACGCGGTGATCTCGGAAACTATAAGAGCTAGGCTATTGGGATTTGGCATGCAAACTCCTAAGCTTCTTGCGCAGCGAAAGTTTGTTTCAGTAAGGTACCACGCCCACTCTAACGCCCACAAACCGCCCAAAACTGTGGGATATTCTTTTGAAAAAAATATGTAACAGCATTAACATATTCCCTTCAAAGGACAAAACTAATTTCACATTACAAACTAATTTTGTTACTCTCACATAATGACTGCATTCCTATGTTCAAAAAAATAAATATAAAAGCTTAAACGAATAGATTCACGGCTTACCGTCACACATTGCACTTCATTATTATTAATAAAATTAATATTGTTATTAACTAGCACCAGTGGGAAAACACATTTATCTAATTTCCCAAAAGCCGTAGACTTCTAGTTTTCTATATGGAACTGTTTATAACAACTTAAATGATTTCATGACAGTAAAATAGCGTTTTATATTTCCGCTAGAATCAATCATTAATAAAGGTGTTACTGTTGTGGCGAATATACTGCCATCGACATCACACTTCTGTGGACCTGCAAAGTCCCTGTTTGTAGTTCGAATGACCTCAGCTTCCATCGAACCCATCACTATATTGAAGTTCGGCTATTAAAAAGTTTGACCCTTGATCTTTCATTATTTTCGAAACAAGGTTGTTTTTTGTTTGATCTCTAATTGAGATATATTGTTGCTTGGTTAAATTTTGATCTAAGAGAACAGCTAGTGCGTCGTTAACTAGTACTTTCTCCAATTTCGCGACGGGCTGACTTATTAAGGTGCGCATGCTCTTTGCTTTTTCAGGGCAGATAGCCAACAATTTTAAAATATATGCTAGATCTGATTTACCGCCCTTACGCGCAGCCGCACTCGCTAAATTTATTAATAATTTAATATTTCCAGCCGTGGATTTGATTAAATTTGAAACTACTCTTCTCTAAGCCCTTGCTCCCGATAACAAATAAGGCAATTTTGGCCTGCCTGTCGATCTCCGCCTGTTTATGCAAACCTCAGTGTGGGATGTAAACCAAGTTGAGTACTTTCTTTTAAAATGATTAAAATTTATTTTGCAAGATGTCCTTTGCGGACAATAACAAAAAGCTTCGCTTGTTTTTTCAAAACATCCTCATAAGCATCTGAACCAGCTATCGCAGCTCTTAATGTGTCAAGTATTGGCAGATCTTTGTCATACTTTTTCTCTCCAGAACTCCAAACAATTATGTATTTTCAAACCTGAGGTTGTGACCTAAAAGGGTAAATTGCGACGAAAGTGTTTGCACACTTTAGCATTCTTATGAACAAGAAATAAACTACCGACAACACAGTGTAAATATTAAGG